ATTAAAGTTATCGCGTCACTGCAGCTGACGTTGGAAACTCCGGAGACTTGCATGCGCATTAGCTTGATGCTTGATCCAGCAGGAAAAATGTTGTTTTCTGTCATGATTCGAGAGTTTTGAAACATGTTTTGGACAGTTGTTGTCAAGTTTCATTGGTGGTTTCAAATATGAAATTTAATCGTAAGCTTGGCAAACAGTTTTGGAGAATTTGATGTTTCCCTATATTCAAAAAGAAAGGAGCTGCACTTGCATGCCCGAGAGGCGTTTCAAAGACGGCCGCCAAGTGAAATGACTTGTCTTAAAGGGACTTTGGTATAACTAACATGCAGAAGTACTGTACTAACATTTTTCTTTTCATGACGTTCAATTTGAGGATTTTTTCTTTGTTATGATATAAGGAGAATTAAGAGTGATTGCACATCTGTAGGATACACGCATACGTTCTGCAGCACGTCCCTGTGGGTAAGGTGTGAAAGCTTCAGGATGTGAACTCCATGTGTGTAAATGTGTGTGCCATTCCAATAAGAAGGACAGCGTGGATGAGATGCCTGTGGAGGGAGATGGAAGATCAAATTCAACAACAGCACGCATAACATTTCAGTCCAAGAACCTGTGATCGCCACACATTAAGAAGAAACAGCAGGCCAACTCAACAGGCAAGAAGGACAGTCTTTACGACAGTCTACCGGGTGGACCCAAAGAGCTGGTTCGGGTGTGTTAGAATTTCTGCACACTAGGGATGTTCATTTGGGGGGTTTTCCCAAACTGACAAATGAAAGTCGTTAACCGATCTTTAAAAGCGTGTTAAATTTGAATTAAAATAATTTAGAATTTATAAGTGTCTGTGACCCATTGAAAATAACAAAATTATTTGTTTAAGGGTAAAAATTATGATTCACACATCCTCACTTCACACATCTGCAGATATTCAGTGAATAGAGAAAAAATGGAATAAAATTATATATATATATATATATGTAGACATTATCCTCCATTTCAATTACTCCAGAGAAACATGGCCATGTTGGCTAGCTTCAAAATTTGCACACTAAACACCTACAGTTTCTTTGCTCTAATGCTTCACAATGCCTTAAATGTCAAACTGTGCCGAAATTATGGTAGCTTGACAGATTAAATTTATGGTACATTGATGTTTTTCATACAATGCATCTTTAAGGTTCACTGACCAAGATTTCACAACAGTTGCTAGAAAAACTTGGCTTTGTTTTAGGTAAAGTGGTAACATTTTGTGAAATCTATTTGGAATGGTATTATCAAACAATGAAATGCTTTCTGTTGCATCAGTCTGCATGTGTTTTGAGGGAGTTTCAAAGTTGATTTGTGCATAAACGACACTCTCTAATCCAGATAGCATTTATACAGTAACTGTGACCCCTGAGACAGGAAATGGTGATAAACTTCCTCTTCATTTAGAGTCACTTACTATCACTTACAATCATCCCCATTCCGATCATAACACCTGATCTAATCTGCCGCTGAACCAAAAACATTGTTGCATAACTCAATGTTTCAAACCCCAGTGAGCAGGGTTTCTCTCTTCAAAGGTATCTTCTTAGTTAGGCATCGTAACAGTAGAATTATTACTGACCTGAAAAACTCTTCATAGGCCGCAACTCTATTAATGATCACTCATTTGTAACTTTTCAGCATACTGGCTGTTGTTACCACCACAAAATAAAACATTTTAAAAGATAATTGGGACTTTCTCATTTGACGTTTCACAAATGAATGATATAAAGTCCCAATATAAAGATATAAACTTGCAATTCTGCCTTTATGTCTTGGAATTCTGACTTTATAACACACAATTGCGAGTTTTAAATCTTTTCTCGAGATTTGTGAGATTTAAACTCGCAATTACGAGTTATAAAGTCAAAATTGTGAGATATAAACTCGTAATTGCGAGTCAAAATCCAATCTAAGGAAAAAAAAAAATTTTTCCCTCAGAATTGTGAGTTTATATCACACATTTTGACTTTATAACACGCAATTGCGAGTTTATGTCTTGCAATGCTGACATCTTTTCTCGAGATTTGTGAGATTTAAACTCGCAATTACGAGTTAAAAAGTCAGAATTATGAGATATAAACTCGCAATTGCGAGTCAAAATCCAATCTAAGGAAAAAAAACCTTTTCCCTCAGAATTGCGAGTTTATATCGCACATTTTGACTTTATAACACGCAATTGCGAGTTTATGTCTTGCAATGCTGACATCTTTTCTCGAGATTTGTGAGATTTAAACTCGCAATTATGAGTTATAAAGTCCGAATTGTGAGATATAAACTCGCAATTATGAGTTATAAAGTCCGAATTGTGAGATATAAACTCGTAATTATGAGTTATAAAGTCAGAATTGTGAGATATAAACTCGCAATTGCGAGTTAAAATCCAATCTAGGAAATAATTAAAAAAAAATTTCCCTCAGAATTGCGAGGTTATATCGCACATCCTGACTTTATAACACACAATTACAAGTTTGTCTTGCAATGTCGACATCTTTTCTCGAGATTTGTGAGATTTAAACTCGCAATTACGATTTATAAAGTCCGAATTGTGAGATATAAACTCGCAATTATGAGTTAAAGTCCAATCTAAGGAAAAAAAAACCTTTTTCCCTCAGAATTGCGAGTTTATATCACACATTCTGACTTTATAACACACAATTGCGATTTTATGTCTTGCAATGCCGACATCTTTTCTCGAGATTTGTGAGATTTAAACTCGCAATTACGAGTTATAAAGTCCGAATTGTGAGATATAAACTCGCAATTATGAGTTAAAGTCCAATCTAAGGAAAAAAAAAAACCTTTTTCCCTCAGAATTGCGAGTTTATATCACACATTCTGACTTTATAACACACAATTGCGATTTTATGTCTTGCAATGCCGACATCTTTTCTCGAGATTTGTGAGATTTAAACTCGCAATTACGAGTTATAAAGTCCGAATTGTGAGATATAAACTCGCAATTATGAGTTAAAGTCCAATCTAAGGAAAAAAAAAAAACCTTTTTCCCTCAGAATTGCGAGTTTATATCACACAATTCTGACTTTATAACTCGTGATTCTGTGGCTATTCAAAGCTGTCAGACTACATACAAAAATTTCACCGGATAATTTAAATGGATGCCAAAAGTAATGTTTGGAAAGGTAAACTGATATTAGGCACGTTAGTATTTTCACCAAAAACAAATGGTTTTAAGCCAGTTATTTGTATCTTTTGCTATATTGTGTAGCAAAATATACAAATAACTGGCTTAAAACCATTTGTTTTTGGTGAAAATACTAACGTGCCCAAGACTTTTTCACAGAATTGTGTATGCTAAATGAAAACGAGTCAATACAAAATCCAGATCACATGAAACACACATAAAGTTAATATAATACTGCATGTGCTGGACTGAATACATCCAGAAACGTTACATCATCTCCTCTAGAGCTGTCCTTTAATGTTGATCAAAGGCCGCCAAAAGCCATTTATCATTCAAATTGTCTTAATATGGTAATTAAATAATGACGTCTTCTTGCTCGGCCTCATGTGCACAAAGAACTATTTTCAGAGTCTGAAAATGATAATACAAGCATAAATACTGAAAAACACTTCATATTTCATGTCCCTAACAGCAATATTCCTATATTTGCAGTGGTTGAGCAACAGTGATGCTTGCCTTAGCAAAGATGAGGAATGTCTTTTTAAAAATCAAGGTTGTGCTGTTTCAGCTTCAGTGACGGCCGTGTTAAGTTTCCATGTCGTGCGTGACACTTCTAATTTAAGGTGGCAGAAGCTTAGCGAAAAACGCTAAATGTGACTCAAGCTATAAAAGTGACAGACGCTTCAGCACAAGCCGCCACATAATCAAAGATTTGCAGAAGTGGTGAAATTCCCCCAAATCCTGACAGAAATAAATTTGAGCTTCTTTTCACTGCTGACATATTTGGATCATGCAGCTTAGTAATAAGCGACAGAAAGAAGAAGAAGAAAAAAAAAACATAAGCTTGCTTTTGCTTCACTCAGAAAACTGCCAACCGAGGGTTTCTACAGATTCATCACTTTGAGAGACAAACTTCGCTGTGATAATCGCTATTAACCAAAAGTAATAATTAGAGGTATCAGGAAGTGTGCAAAGAAGAAAGTGAGTCTGTGTAAAAACGTTCTGAAGTGTTTTCATAAGGTTTGTTCTGCAAACGGCGGTTAAAAATCATGCCTTTGGCAACTAGCAGCTCCTTTGTGAACAATGACATCATTATTTGATTGACAGCAGGAGATTCCTGTCAGACCAGTGCGAAGACACTGCGGAAACACTTAGCATTACATGATCCTTTACTCTTTCCCTCAGAAGTTTGCAGATACGGATCGGCATTTCACTAACCCGCTCAACATAAAAATAAATCAATAAAAAACCCATTGACAACGGGACGATGGAACAAGAAGAGCTAAAATGCTAACTCCAGGTTGCTAATTTTTCAGGTTTTGTCTGACAAAAATGCAGAGCACTATACTCACTACAACTAAAATGACCAGTATGCATTGATTAAAGCATAAAAAGTGTAAAATAAAGTAAAAACAACACTGGTAATGGAGGGATTTAGGTGAGTATATTTTGTTGGTGACCGCGCCAAGGAACACCGCAACTGAAAACTCATTTTGACGACAATGAATGTTTTTACTAACCAACTACATGGTGCACTACATGGACAAGTTTGAGTGCACATTCCTGAAATGATGACATAACAAAAAATCTGTCAGTACACAACATTAACCATCAAGGCCTCTGATTCATTTGCAACACTCAGGCAAGACAGAGCCGAAAGGGAAATTATTAAAAGAGAGAGAGAGACGTGTAAAGTAATGACAGCATAACGCGGGAGTGTGTTTGAGAATCTGTGATGTAAGAATCGCCATCTGCTGGTATAAACCGATACGTCCTGCAGATCAGACCTCAGTTCCCCGTAATCTCAGTAAATGCTGATGTTGTGTACCTGTGAGCAGAGACACCCTGTGGAAGGTGCCGTCCAGCTTGCTCAGGAGGATGTGGACGAAGCTGTCTTTGGAAAGCTGACCGGCGTCTTTAGTGCCCTGATCGTACACCACCACCTCCTGTCTGCGGGCCAGGTCCACCTTGAGGGCGAAACACACAGGAACATTTCAGTTAGAAGTCATAGATAGAAGATGCAATGCAAACGGGCATCTGGCTATTATCACAATATAGCACGGCTGCCATGATGACATTATAGCAAATGTAACATATAAAAAAGCTAAAAATAATATTAATGACACATATCATTTATGTAATCGGATATATACATATACATACGTACATTCAATAAGACAATGATGAATAATATATCATATGTGTAATTAGAAAATTAATAATATATTAGACAATATTAACTATTTACAATATTTGATATTTATTATTTATAAAACAATATATTATTTAATACAAACACACACACACACACACACACACATATATAGGGTTATATATAGGGTTATTATTAATAACTATATTGTTAACTATAACTAACATTTATGTTAATAAAGCTAAAATAAAATATAAATATTAGTTAAAGAACTTAAAGGGATAGTTCACTTTGAAATGAATTTTTGGTATGTTTTAGCTTACCTCAAGGGCACCCAAGATGTAGGTGTCTTTGTTTCCGCAGTATTTTCAATTTTGATATTTTTAGGTCAAACCGTTCATATAATGGAGGTCTATGGTCACCACCTCAAAGAGAATGCACAGAGAAGTCCAAATTAAACATGATTTAATGACTCGTAAATGTAAGTACACACTGATGGCCAAACGAGTGGTTTGTGTGAGAAAATGAACAGTATTTATATCGTTTTTACCTCTTGTAACCACAGCCACGTCCAAGTGGCATCTAAAGGCACGGGCGCTTCGGTCTGCGCAAGCGTGACTGTGGTTACAAGAGGTAAAAACGATATAAATACTGTTCGTTTTCTCACACAAACCGCTCATTTCGTGTCTTAGGCCATCAATGTGTACTTACATTTACGAGTCATTAAATCATGTTTAATTTGGACTTCTCTGTGCATTCTCTTTGAGGTGGTGACCATAGACCTCCATTATATGAACGGTTTGACCTAAAAATATTATATGCCCTTGAAGTAAGCTAAAACATCAAAAATTAATTTCAAAGTGAACTATACCTTTAAATTTAACGAAAATTAAAAATGTTGCCTTGGCAATATATATATATATATATATTACAATATTAATTATTTACAACTATGTTTTACTTTTTAGAATATTTACTGTAGGCGATTTAAACAGTATATTAGAATAATATATTATATAAATGGTATATAAATATTATTGTTATTATTATATTAATAAAATATTATTAATAATATATATTTACATACAGTATATATTATATATTAAAAAAAGATGTTGGGTTGTGGAACTAACAATATCATGCAATATATTATATATCATTTATTACATAAACAACTAATACTAATATGTTTGTTTGTTTGTATGAGCGATATACTATAAATATAAACTATTATTACTATTTTTATAAATATAAACTATTATTACTATTAAGACAATGTATTGTGGAACTGACACAAGGGGGAGACATCATTCTGGTCAGACGTGCATGTTTATTGGCCAATTAATCAATCTGTCTGATAAATCGCTCAATCACTGTGATTATTAGAGTGCATTTTTACGAAAGGCCCCAGCTTTTTAAAGTGCTTTAATGTGGAACAGAAAAACATGCAAGAATCAAGAGCAAAGGTGTGGTATCATTCTATTCCTGCTCCAAATGACGTGCATTTCACACAAAACGTGATGGCTGGAGGCTTTAGCGTGTGCATCAGTGCATTGAATAGGAGTGCAAGGACTTTGGGAGTGTGTGTGCGTGTGTGTTTGTGATGCAGCAGGAGTGTGAAGCTGTGTGTGGCTGCACGCGAGCCCGGCTGTCTCAATGTTGTCAGGCAGTTTTTGATCACATGACCATCAGCCAGAGCCGCTGCAGAATGACTCACTACAGTACTGGAGCACTACTGGAGAAAACAGAGAGAGAGAGGAGGGGAGACGCAACGAGGCCAGCGACAGAGGAAGAAGATGAGAAAAGATGGAGGAGCAAAAAAGAGGGGATGAGAAGAGGAAGTTACGCAGGAAGCGACAACACCAACAATATAAGGAATGCATAGATGGGTGTGTAGCAAAAACTGCTTTGGCTATATTGGTCACAACTCCATTGTGATTTCCATTGACTTTATTCACAAAAAAGAAAAAAGAAAAAGCAATTAAATAAGCGAAGTACGACTACGTTTTCCATCCATTTACAATAAACAGGGAATAAAGTAAAGCCAGACCGATATATCGGCAGGCCGATATTATCGGCCGATATTAGGCATTTTCCAAACTATCGATATCGGCAGTTATAATGGCCGATAAATGAATATTTCAAAAATAAAATAAAAAACGGATGAAACACACTTGAACCATGTCATGAGTGTTTGAGTTGTATAGTTTGTCCACCAGAGGGCACTCTACACCGTCCCTGTTGGCAACACTCGTTGAGTTGGTCACGAGACATACATTGCTTGAATAACAATTAAAATAACATCTCCATCAGTTCTCTTAACTCAAATAAGCAACAAAATTTGTGACTATCATGTCCAGTTTTGCTGCTGTTAAATAAGCCGAGAGTGAAGCGGAATCAGCTAGTAATAGTTACGTTACGTTGTTACAGTGTAGTTGACTGACTGTACTTTTAACTTTTGATAATGTGACTGAAATATTTCTTTAATAGCGCGTGACAGTTATAGCAATGAGACGGATCATCTCTCCTTGGCCTGTTATATTGAAAACGTATGTTTTACAATTTGCAGTATGACGTTATCCATTGCTAAATTATGGCTTATCTTACCCTACCTCACGACCAATTCGTACGAGTGATTCAAGAGTGGCTAATTCATACTAATTCATACGACCTCACTTGTACGAATTTGTACGAATTTGTACGATTTGTCTAAACCCACGTGACGGTTATGTTTAGGGGCGGGGTCAGGGGTAGGTCATTCGTACGAATTCATACGAATTGGCTAATTCGTAAAATATGTACGATTTAGCAAAATCGTACTAATTCGTACGAGTGAGGTCGTACGAATTGTTACGAATCAGCCACCTCGTAAAATTCATACGAATTCCCGTGAGATCGGGTTGGCTTATCATAGACTAGCTAACCACAAAGCTAGCTAATGCCACTATCATCAGTCTGTTCTGTTGTGACAATAAAAGAAACAAGTTTCTTTTTAAAATTCATTATCATAATATTTTAGTTAAAACTCATAAATAGCTACAAATAACTAATGTTAGGGAAATCTGTTAATGTTTTCTTGCGCGTTTCTGAAAAAAAATATATATATTGGCAGATATATCGGAATATTGGATTTTAAAACCAAAAAAATATTTGTATCGGTATCGGCCTTCAAAATCCTTTATCAGTCGGGCTCTACTACATATTGTACCTTTAAGGTTGAAATCGACTAGTCACTGATCATGGCCTAATGGCCTATAGAGTAAAAGTTTACACTCCATTGCCAAACAGTTAAAGGGTTAGTTCACCCAAAAATGAAAATTAAGTCATTAATTACTCACCCCCATGCTGTACCAACCCCGTAAGACCTTCGTTCGTCTTCGGAACACAAATGAAGATATTTTTGATTAAATTTGAGAGCTGTATAACTACCACATTGGCTCCTAAGGGACTGCCTCTTGACGGCCCAAAAAGTCAATGAAGAAAATGTTTAAATATCCCAAGTGACTACCGTGGCTCAACTATATGTTTATCAAGCGACGCGAATACTTTTTGTGCGAAAAAACAAACAAAAATAACGAATTTATTCGACTATTCCTTTACTTCCTTGTAGGCCAGAAACGAGACTTCCTTAGATTTCCACGACGCATGCGCGAGAATTGCGATCTCGTTACACTACTTCAGTTCAGTTCTCGCGCATGCGTCGTGGAAATCTAAGGAAGTCTCGTTTCTGGCCTACAAGGAAGTAAAGGAATAGTCGAATAAATTCGTTATTTTTGTTTGTTTTTTCGCACAAAAAGTATTCTCGTCGCTTGATAAACATATAGTTGAGCCACGGTAGTCACTTGGGATATTTAAACATTTTCTTCATTGACTTTCTGGGCCGTCAAGAGGCAGTCCTTTAGGAGCCAATGTGGTAGTTATACAGCTCTCAAATTTAATCAAAAATATCTTCATTTGTGTTCCGAAGACGAACGGAGGTCTTACGGGGTTGGTACAGCATGGGGGTGAGTAATTAATGACTTAATTTTCATTTTTGGGTGAACTAACCCTTTAAAATAACAAATAAATGCATACTCGGAGAGCACGCCAAAAAATATATGTCTGATTATACTATCTGGATGCTTAATTTATTGGGTGAATGCACATTTTAAACAGCTTATTGTACACGCAAGTTCTAAACTAATGCGCAGCTGCAGTGTAACACACACAATCGCTCTCTGACTAATGCACAATTCATCATCCATTCATATAAATGCTTTACTGTGCTAAATATCTTTACTGTGCTACTTTATCTGTATCTGATTTAGAACAAGCAGAAATCTGAGAAATATAACGACCCAAAGACAAACTGATAAAAATAAGCTATATATTGATCATTTCATTCCAATCCATAGCACAACTAGTGAACAAATGCAAATGCAACGTGTCTCTAATTAAGTAAGTAAGAAGGTGCGAAAGGGGTATGTGAAAGAAAACGAAAGTCGGCGTGTGTACACACCACAACACGACAACTTGGCAATGTGCCTAAAAGGTGATGTCACCTGCCGAAGGTCGGACTCGGGTGGAAGAGTACCAAGCGTTCCCTGCCAGCACAACTCTGACTGAGAAAGTTAAACAATAGCACCATAGTCCTGCTTTTAAAATGTGTTTACACCTATCATTCTTCGTTTACCTTGACCGATTATGCAAGTGAAGCTTAGCTGTTAGATAAGGTATTAAACTGAGGTGATTGATTGACAGGGGATAGTGAGAAACGTCCTCTTTGTCCTGCCCGTCTCCCACAGGCCCCTCCCGCTTCGGTACAAGGTGTTCCAC